AGGTCCACTGCTTGTCCAAGATTGGGTCGTGGAGTTAACAGGTCCTGGAGGGATGCCCAGACACAGCTTACCAGAGAGACACTCCCCAGCTCCTCCTGGCTGATCCCAAGGATATTCCAGTCCAGAGAGAATCCCCCCAGAGTTTAGGGGTCTGTCCTACGTTCTCCTTCCAGTGGAATGTGCACAAAAATAAACAAATAAATAAATAAATAAATAAATAAAGAGTGGAGCAACCTTGGAGACTAATCTGGAACATGGAGACTGGGGCACCTTCTTGAAATCTCACCTGACATTAGTGAGGATCCCGTTAATGAGCACCTGGTGGTACATTAGCTCCTGGGGTTGGAGTGGGCTCAGCCCATGAAGGCTACAGGAAGCCGCCTACCTCCATGTGAGCAGACAGAAGAGTCAAGTGCTATGTAAGCCAGATGGCAGGTGAGGATGAGGTCTGGTCATGTAGATCATTGGTTTTGTAAACTTGTTTTAGGTACATGGGATTTCCATGAGAAATTGTTTTACTTAAACCAAATTTTCTCTATAATAACCAAACTTCTGTTTTTTAGTATCAATTAAAGCCATTGCATCGTAAGAATGAACTTTAATTAAGGTTTTACTCTAAAAATTCACTCAAACTGTATGATTCAGTATGACATATTTTCTACACGGCATTTTATTTTTCCTAAATTATGTGTAAATTTAATATTTTGAATCATTTAAGTTTTTCTGCGTTTTTCTAATTCATTACTTATGTCTTTTAATTTTTTTCTTAAATGTTTTACTCTCTTTCATTAGACACAAATTAAAATGTTTTAGTTCTAGTTTAATGCTTCAATAAAAAAAATGGAAAAAGTAAAACTTTTAAAGACATTTTTATTCGTTTTACAGATGATACTTTGTCGCCATCTAGCGGTGCAATTTGAACTCGGCTCGTTTATCTCCACGAACCTGTACGTGCTACGTCACCAGTTTGCGTACCGTACGGGTAAAAATGTAAACGCTCCTCTAGCAGCGGAGTTAGCTAACATGATCTACCCGCTCTTCTGTCATCGCTGCAGGGTTTATTTCCGATTTTTATCTCAGTCAGTAGCTATCGGATGATGTTATGAAATCTTATTTTGGTGCTTTAACAGTCAGCATCCAATTTCTGTCATAAAATTAGACATGTTCGGGCTACTTTAGCGCAGCTGGCTTACTGCACTTTCCTCTTCTGTCCTGTTATAAGTCAACATGGCGCTTTCCTTGGTGAGTCTTTGTGCCAGAGAGGTGGTGAGTGACCACAGCTCGTCTCCTAACTGGTTAAGCTGGGTGCCAAGAGAGCTGTATCGGGCGCTGCTGGAGGCCGCCTTCGCCTGCTCTAGACCGCTGGCTGTGGGCGAGCTGGTGCAGCGGTGGCCCGAACGGACGCTCCGCGTCGCAGGACGGCGGAAACCCGGTCAAGCGTCCCCAAATCGACTCTGCATTCAGGCTCTGCTGCTTGCAGTTGTAAGAGGACTCGTGGATCAAAGGTGGGAAACTCTAAAATTAGCTTCTACTTAGGATCGTGCTGTGTAATATCACTATTTACTTTCATTTTTGTAGATCTACTCTGCAAGTTCTGGACATCTGTGGGCTTCAGGGAGATGAGGGAGGAATGGGGGACCCAATGGGAGGCTGGTCTCTGACTGTTGCCCTCTGCAGCATGGTTCTTCAAGCTAGAGCTGGAGCACAGCGGGCTCAGCGGAAGGAAGGAGACCGGGAGAGGAAACGGTCCTCAGCACTTGAAAGGGAAAGAGATCTGAAAAGAGAAAGGGGACCGAGGAGAGGAGTAAAAGGATTCGGTGGTGAGGATTTGTGCAGTAGCAGGGAGACACCTGGATCTCCTGTAAGTGAAGAGGAGCTCATTCAAGGAGTCAGAAGGAGGATGGAGATGGATAGAAAAAGGGGAGGTGCAGCGACAGGTTTAGGAGGAACCAAAAGTGAAGTGGATGAGAAAGAGGCAGATTGTGAGGTGGTGGTGCGTGTTAGAGCTGATTTTTTTGTAAATGCCCGGTCGTGGGAGCGCGTTCGTGTGGCTCTGAGCACACCAGGACCTTTGAAGCTTCAGTGCAGAGACCTGCGTGTGGAGGAGATTTCGGTGGCGAGTATCAGGACTCTGCTGAACCTGTTGCCTCGCAGAGGGCTCCTGGGCATTGACGTTCGATACAGCAGCCTGGGAGTGGCTGGCTTGGCTGAGCTGCTGCCTCTTCTCTCTACATTTCCTGAACTGAACTCTCTCCGGCTGCATTACTGCAACCTGGACATTCGCAGAGACCATCTGGGCCAGGAGGACGTACTGAGGGACCTTTCACAGGGACTGGCTCAGCTGAGGGAACTACGGCGGCTCAGCCTCACTGCTTTGCGGCTCCCTGGTCAGCTGCGTGTGTTGCTCAGGTAGTGCCCTGTCAAAACCTAAACTAAACTAAAGATCAAATGTAAACTCTTGTTGGATTTCAATTTGTTTTTTTTGTTTTTTTCATTTTGTTGCAGCTCACTGTCTCAGGCTTTGGAGATCTTGGAGCTGCCATACTTGAGCCTGAGTCCCACTGACCTGGCCTATCTGTCATGCAGCCATCACGCCTCAACGCTACAGCAGCTGGATCTGAGTGAGAACCGTCTGGACGAGAGCACCCTGCCTTCAGTTCGACGCCTCCTCTCCCAGGCTTCCAGCAGCCTGCAGCACCTCTCCCTAAGTGGCTGCGGTCTGACTGACAGCCTTTTGGGGCTCTTGCTTCCCTCGCTGGGGGGATGCTCGGCCCTCAAGAGCCTGGCTTTAGCCCTGAACCCACTTTCGATGGCGGGCCTCACGGACCTGGTGCGGATGGCAGCAAGAATGCCTGCCCTGCGGCAGCTACTCTACCCCAACCCTCTGGAGGACTACCAGCCGGGCCTCCCTGCTTTTCCCTCCAGTGCTCAGCTGTTGGAGTGGCCTCTGGATGAAGCTACAGACATCAACATGACCAGTAGCCAACTGAACAGGTTGCTTGTAGACACCGGACGCTCTGACCTCTTCCTGACCTGTGACCTGATCAATTATGATAAAAACTTGGTGGACTAGAGCAGGCCAGAGGTGCACCTCGGTTCACTCACCAACACAGCTGACAATCAAACAAAAGGCTCACGAAATTGTTGCATTTTAATATTTGTACTTTTAAAATTTTTCTTTTCATTTACGAAGGTAAAAATAGCCACAAAAATGTTAACCTGGTTAAAAACAGGATGTAATTCCACTAATGGCAATGTTACACCTGGCCACTAAAAAGTGTGTTACTGTTGGTTACCAATAATGAAATTATGAGGAAGTTACCGCTAGAGGGCACTGCATCATTCAGATATTATTAAAGGGACATTTTTTAAAATGTACTTTTTTTCAGTGTAAAAGTTACAGCTTTTAGAGGATTTGGTTTTCTGCTGGAGGAGCTGAGAATTACAGATGACCTCTAAAGTCTCATGATTATCCAGGCTCTGGCTAGTAAAAGGCACCTTTTGGGTTACACACTGTTGAAAATGGTCAAACTGTCCAATAAATACGTGATCTTGTTTGATTTCTCAGTTTAAATGCAGCATTTGAGTCTTTTATTATTTTTTTACCTAAATATGAATTAATCAGAGCTGGTGAGTCAGATGCCATGATGATTAAAGACATTTAACCTAAAATAGCTGAGGATTACCAGGTGGTTTCTTGTAAAGGAAAAATGAATGGAAATCCAAAGAAGGAGGTTTTTTTAAATGCTGCATTTTTTTCATCGTCTGCTCTGGGAAGGGATCAAAATGGGTTTTATATCCTTTACCACATAAATATACTTTTATTCTGAAAGTCACTCAGTAAATCAGACATAAAATGGTTAATAAGAGCTTTTACATTTAAAAGGATGTATAAAATGATCAAACCAAGAATCAACCATCAGGTCACATAAACTCACTTTATTTTGGATAAACATGTTAATAAAATATTTAGTCTATATATTATTGCTGTACATTGTTCTTAGTAAGAATCTTTGGTCTTTAACCATAATCCTCTCCAAATGGATGGTTTTCTACTCCTGTTGTTCGATTAAAGAGGAAAAACAGGTCTTACAGGAAGTGTGTGCTCCAAAAGCCGATTCACGAATGGAATCATTTGCTTGATAAATCAATAAAAGCCTTATTTTAAAAGGCTTCAGTCATTAAACTCTCCAGCTGTTCCTCCTCCGCCGAGCTGCTCGTGGTGAAAGCTTTAGTGAAATAATGCAGTTCTATTTTTCCCGACTGGTGTGCAAGGGCGACTCCTGAATATGTCTGCTGTCCTGAATCTCCGAACACGGACATGGCCGTCACCCTGAAAAACAAACACACCTGATGTGAGCGTCTCAGGCTGGCGTTGGTCACTGGGGCTCAGGGTTGTGTTGCTATCTGGCGTTACCGATCAGCTGTCAGTCTCTCCTTGATCACAGGCTGTGCGTCGCTTTCCAGCAGGTCCCAGATGTAGAGGTTGGAAGCAGCATCAAGCCCGCAGAACACCGTGGGTCTGGTCTGAGACCACTGCAGGGAAACCAGCGGTTCTCCAGCTGTGGAGCTCCTCCACTCAGCCACAGGCCGATCACGGCTTACTGCGTGTAGCCGGATGCTGCCGTCACCACATCCCACCTAGAATATGAGGCAAAAGAAGATTCCTTTCCTTTCCAGTCTTTATATAAGCATACATTTTATATTACAAAACGGAACTCCTACCAGGAACAAGTGTAGCTTGAAGGGAGAGAAGTGGATGGAGCTGATGTCAACAGGTCGCTCTTCCACCTCCTGGAACCTGTAGAACTTCGGCAGAGCCTTCAAACCGTGACTTGTTCCATGGCTGACCAGACCCTGGACAGGAATAACACAAACACTCCAAATCAAACACACGAGAGAGGATCAGGGACGCTGAAAAGAAACAATGAGGAGAAAAAGAATTCTGACTTTAATCTCAGAATTCAGAATTTTAAAATCTGAGATTAAATTTAGAATTCTGGAAAAAAAAGTAAGAATTCTAAAATTAAATGGGGATTCTGACATTAAAGTCAGAATTTTGAGGAAAAAGTAAGAATTCTCTTAAGTCAGAATTCTGGAATTAAATTTGGAGTTCTAAGATTAAAGTCAGAATTTAGAAAAGAAAGTTAGAATCCCAACTTCAATCTCAGAATTCTGACTTTTGAATTCTAAGAAAAAAAAGTAAGAATTCTGAGATTAAAGTGAAAATTCTGACTTAAATCTCTGAATTCTTACTTTTCTCTCAGAATTATGAATTATTTTTTTCTCCAAATTTAATCTCAGAATTAAAAAATCAGAATTCTGAGATCGAAGTCTCTTTAATATCAGAATTCTGAGATTAAATTTGGAATTCTGAGAAAAATAAAAATCATCATTCTGAGAAAAAAGTAAGAATTCTGAGATTAAAGTCTCTGAGAATGCTAAATTTTGAGATTAAAGCCAGAATTCAGAAAAAAATACTAAAGTTAGAATTCCAATTTTCAGACTTTTGAGGTTAAAGTCAGAACTCTGAGAAACACGTCTCTTCCATGGCCCTAATCCTCTTTCGTACAAACAGCATTTTCTAAATATTTAAACCTTTTCTCCTTTTAATGAAACCGCACGAATTCCACTCACCAAATCGGTGCCGATGAAGAAATGATTGGAGTCTGTTGGAAGGATTTTTAGAAGCAGCGCCTGGAACTGCCTTGTGTTCACCACATCTCGTGATGACGTCCTGAGAGGACGGGACGAGACAACATGTTAAAGAGGTCACGACCTTCCCAGACAGTAAAAGTGGAACGCATGACCAGAAGAATGATCGGACAGGACTGTGTGATCCCCAGCAGAGCAGCTGCGTCCCACTGGGCAGAAACACTCTGGGGTATTTTCAGCCCACTGACAGAAGCTATTTATCCATCTAACCTGTCGGCAGCGAGGAGGGAGGAGCTGTGGAGCAGCTTGACTTTACCCCCAGGGCGCAGACCTGTGGGTGGAGAAGGGTTTAGGAGTTAGAATGATGTTAGTGGAGAAGCAGGGAGGCCCATAAAATATGACCTCCTTACCTAGATCTGTAGGAGAGCCGGCCTCGTTGGCTTTAGGGAGCTCTAGCACCACCTACAGGACGTAGAGCACAACCCAATATTTAGGTCGAGAGAAAACTGAATTGTTTCATGGAATAAGAAAACAACTCAAGAGGTGTTTAAATACTAAATATGTGAATCTTTGTTTAGTTTAGGAACTAAATAAATGTTTTATTTATTGATATTTTCATGTTGCCTGTTGACATTGTTGGATTAATGAAGTGCAAAACAGGCTAACTGGTCAAATTAGCCAAAACTAGCTTTGAAACGGTGACTATGGGTTTAGCTATGATTCATTTCTAGGTTATTTTCTGGTTAAAGCCTCTGACAAGGGTTTCCTTCCTGTTGCTGTCAGATGACTCCGGCGTAGAGAAAAAGTTTTGTTACCCAGAAATTTAAGACCCCACTTTGATCCAGAGAGGCCAGCTGGAAGGACAATCCCGTCAGCTCTAGAAAATAAGAAGACAACTTATCTGTGAGTGTCAAAACAAAAAAATAAAAGACAACATCCATCATGATGTTGAACCAGCGTGTGGAGTGTCGAACCTTCCTTGGACGCTAAAAGTGGGACCTCTGAACTCAGCCCCGCTACAGTGAAGGGGACGACCTCTACGGAGGTCACGGAGGACAAATGGCCCGAGCTGGACATTACTGCATCTGTATTGACAGGGTGACAAAAGAGAAGACATCAGTATTTACACTGCTCTTATATAGGTGCACTTACGAGTACAGGGTGTGCTGGATCAGTGGAGACATGCTGTACATTGTAACCTGACTCTGGTCTCAGCTGGAGGGTAAAGATGAATATAAGTGACACTATTAAAAATAAAAAAGGGCTTTATAATCTAAAACTAAAAACTCTGTTTCACCAAGACATGAGCTGTCTGAGTAAAGATTCTCTCACACACCAGTGGAGAATGTAGGCTGTCTAAAGGTCCAGTCCTCTTCCCCGATCTTTAAGCTGTAATGGTTACTGGCCCGCTCCCTCAGGTCCCACAGCACCACTGAACCCACTGAAGTGCCTGCAAACACCAGTGTGGACTTTCCAGGACTGAAACAGCAGCACTGCACCTGGAACAAAAACATATGATTTTTTCTTAAGTTATAATAGTTCTATGGTCGATACAAAATATTTTCGTGAAGTTCTTTACACCAAATCCTTCTCACATGATGCAATTTCAACAGTTTTATTCTGGACTTTTTCAGTACCTTCCAGGAGCCATTTCAGGCCTCTGCCACTTTAACCCGGGCATGTACACTGGACGTGCAAGCATCATGTAACGCAATAGACCTGTTTTCCCCACAATTTCAGTGGTGCGTCTTTTTTGTTTCACACAGCTGTTCCCGCAAAGTTACAATCACAGGATAATTGCAAGATCACGCAGGATTTCATCAGTTCAAAAAAGATGACAGACGTGCGGATGTATCCAAAAGGTCTGTGGTTTATTTTCTGTTCTGTTTACCTCGGCCACTGACGCTTCGCATAAGGTATTTTTTTAAGTAAATCTGCGTGTGTCTTTTATTTTGAAAGTCTCTGGATGTTTTACACTGCTTTTGTGCTTTGCTTCCTGTCTTGCCTGATCAGAAATACTGAGCTTGACGCATTTAGGAATCATAGCACATAAAAAATAGACTTAGCGTAAATTTAGCAAAGCAACGTGACACTACGCTACTTGGACGCTTCCAAGACAAAGTATTGTGGCCATTGGAAACACATTAAAGAGCAAGTCAACCCCTACCAGAGTCTAACTCCACTCCCACTTCATGTTTGAAAAATGCAACAAATGCTGTTGCCAGGCAGACCGAGAGGGCGGAGCCACTAACAAATACACACACACACACACAGGCTCACAACGGCATTGTGACATCATAATGTACCAGTTTACATCATAGCATACTTCTTAGCCAATAGCGGTGGCAGATTTAAATTAAAATACAGTGCAGAGTTTTTACCTGACGACGGCACAACACTGCCAGTTTTAGGCAGAATATTTAAATTTGAACTAAGATGCACTGAAGTGCCAAATTATTGACGACACGTGTCTGCAGCACGATTAGACACTCGTTTATTTAGTTTATCAGCAAAAAAAAGTTTATTTGGGGGTGACTTGCTCTTTAAGCAACTCTAACTGCGACTAACTGCTGTGTACTACGCTTCACGGACGTTACACACTGCTTACGCATCCAGTGAAAAGGCTGGGTAAGAGAACAAACTGGATCTGACCACTCCCACCCATCCCCGACTCAGGCTGCTATAAGCTGAGAAGCTCTGATATCCAGGAGGGGCTCAGATTAGAGCTACTGTTCCATTAGGTAAGAGGTAATTCTAATTTCCACATTTGTGCTGTCACAAACAGGAGCTTCTCGAAACGTCTCGTTTCATTTGCAATCAGTGGGTTTAAAAAACAACTGTGTGGTGAGCTTTTGTGTAACTGTGTGGTATGGCAAGATGTACCACTATATGGTAAAGTACGGTATAACATAATACTACAACCTGACACAATAAAACTAATAAAGTAATATTTATTTTAGTAACTGTTTTAAATGGATTTTGATACTCTTACCTCTGATTCATAAAGAAGTATCTTCTGAGGTCTGGATGGCTCCCAGATGTTCCAGATGCAGATGATGGTGTTGCTGTCAAGGCGAACAGCGCTGGCTTTGACCGTGGGCATGTGCACGGACAACATGGTGTGTCTCTGGACCTGAGAGAAGTGCACCAGGCTAATGTGTCGACCTGCAATCGAAACATGACGATCCCAAAGGAGCTGCATCATACGGAGCAATCACAAAGAGAATACAGTGATCCCTCGCTACTTCGCGGTTTGTTTATCACGGATTCACGACTTCGCAGATTTTTCTTTGGAGCCTTATTCAAGGGAAATTCGCCGATTCGCGGTATTTTTCACCGATTCGCGGTATTTTTCTATGCAAAATATCAAGAAAATCCTGTTTTTTTCATCAATTTCATCATAAAATGCACTTTTTGTAATAAAACTATAAAAATAACAAGTAAAAAAATTTTTTCTTGAGTTTTACCCACAAAAGGAGAATGTGATCATACAATAATTCAATATAGTACTGTACTGTAAATATGGTGTCTCTACTTCGCAGATTTTCACCTATCGCGACCAGGTCTGGAACGCATCTACCGCGATAAACGAGGGATCACTGTACAACAGAGCTGGCGACAGAAGTATTTACCGAGAAGGAAAGGCAAACTGGTGTTGAGCTGTAAACTTCCATCGCTGAAAGAAAGAGATTCTGTTTGAATCTTCAACTTTCTGAGGGATTTTCTCTCTGCTTCATCCTCCTCCAATAACACCACCATGACCTCGATTTGCAGAACAAAAAAAGACAACAAGGGTCAACACTAGCAGCAGGGGGGCTCAACCTGAACGATTCATGTAAAACCTGTGAGGCCGACTGCAGAAATGATGCCAGACGATGCGAATCAAAGCAAAGGTCACTATTGGTTTTGTCTCGTGCTTCCTGGGAGGATTTTGGATCTGTCAAGATAAAAAAAATAATAATAATAATACATAAAATGTGCTTTTTTCCTCTATAAATCAGATTTATCTTTTCGTTATCCAACCTCCACAAGCTCCAATGTGTTCAGGGGGATGTTGAGTCCACTTTTCACTTGTGTCTATTTCCTCTGTCTGGATGTCTCGGTCTGGATTATCCTCATTGCACTGAGTGTATTCCTGCAGAAGACATTCTCACGTAATTCTTGTCTGTTTAAAAGTGTGAGATAACATAAATCCTTTCTAACCTGCTTTGTGTTTGCATTTCCAAAGTGTCTGATGTACATTTCGTATTCAGTGACCGGTGGTAAATCCAAGAGGGAGAAGGTCGTGGAATAATCCAGATCGATTAAACGAAGCAGCTCTGCGCCTCGCTTACTGCAGTCAGAAAAACACAACACTTATTAGGGGCTGCATGACTTAATTTTTTAAAAGTCGACCATCAAGTAAGGAAAATCGAGTCAACTTTAACTAGTCGTTGATGACGTCATACACCTGAAGCGGCTAAAACTGACAATGGGTGACCAAGCGTTTCCTACGCATGGGGGTGGGGTGGGGTGGGGGGGTTGGTTCGCTGGAGTTTTTAACATTTAAAATTGCGCCCACATTTTCTAAGTTAAAGAGCAAGTCACCCCCAAATCAACTATTTTTTTGCTGATAAACTACATAAATGTGTGTCTAATTGTGCTGCAGACACGTGTAGTCAATAATTTGGCACTTCAGTGCATCTTAGTTAAAATTGAAATATTCTGCCTAAAACTGTCAGTGTTGCGCCATAGTCAGGTAAAAACTCTGCACTGCATTTGAATTTATATCTGCCACCGCTATTGGCTAACCCCGGGTTTCCACGGGAGCCATCAGCAGCACGTTACTGCAGCAGCACGTCTTGCTCGCGTAAACTGCTGCTTGGCCCTTCCCACGAGACGCGAAGCAGCAGGGGAGCAGCTGTCACCGACAGAGCACGAAGTCACACGAGTGACTTCGTCAGTAAACACAACAACAAGCAGGAGAAAATTACAACATGGTTTGTGTTTTATGTTCTGTCCGTTTTATAATCGCCAATACAGGCCTGAAAAACAAAGGAGACCGCTAGCTAGGTGATAACTTCTCACGGGGCCGCACAGTTAGTAACTTTTTTAAAAGTAAAGCAACCGGAAGGCAGTACGTTCTTTATTCTGAAAATCTCGGGTGCTTCTCTCCATTTCCGCGTCCGATTTCCTGTCTTTCCTTCCCCAAACATGTCTAAATTGACCCGTTTCAGAGGCGTCGCGCGTAGGAAATAGAACCGGCGCGTAAAGGCCGCGACATGCTGCTCCTCAGACGCGGCCGACTCGCGCTGCTGACGGCTCCCGTGGAAAAGGTTCTGTTGACCACAGCGATTCCTATCAGCAGCTATGACGTGCTACTGCAGTAACGTGCTGCTGACGGCTCCTGTGGAAAGCCGGGGTAAGAGGTATGCTATGATGTAAACTGGTACATTATGATGTCACAATGCTGTCGTGAGCCTGTGTGTGTGTGTGTATTTGTTAGTGGCTCCGCCCTCTCGGTCTGCTAGGCAACAGCATTTGTTGCATTTTTCAAACAAGAAGAGGAAGTGAAGTAAGTTTCTTGTAGGGGGGGACTTGCTCTTTAAACACATCTCTTTTAACTAAGGTAGTTTCTGCTTCAGCCCTCTCCCCCCTCCCCCCTCCCCCTGTGCAGCGGCCACAAACTCACTGATGCGCCTGCAGCCTCTCAGAGTTCCTGCTGCTCTAAACATTAAAATAATTATTTCATTTTCTGTTCCTCACTTCTGATTACCTTCAATGGTATCTGTTTGTTGCAACCACCAGGTACAAAAACTAACTTGTTTTTATTTGACTATTTTTCTGTCCTGCTTGTTTATTATCTTCCTGCATCTCCTCTCAATCCTAAAGAGAAACTGCTACCTGGGTTCATATATATTCACCTTATGAGTTACCTTTGAACTGCAGTTCTAAAAGATCTACCAACCGCTAAAACAGCGGAGTGCGAGCCAGCCGCATCAGTTAGGTGCGTCACCGGAGGACAAAACAGGTGATGCGCCCCGATCCACAGCAGCGAAAAGCATCAGGCACAAATAAAAGACAGAAAACATTAAAGGAAATGAGCTGGCATGAACGTGTTAAATTTGTTTTTGAGGTGGCGACACCTGATTTGATAATGTTACTGTGGCCGTGCACAGGACGCAGATGTCTGGAGCGCATCAACAATCAGAGCTTTGCATGCGCAAGCTGGTTAAGGTTAGGAAGGGGGTGAGGGGAAGGTTAAATTGCAAGAGGGTAAAGGTCACAATTCGGTTTACGGCGGGCGTCAGATACCGATGCTCTGGCACGGCGTGTCGCCTCACAACGCGCGGGGCTCGTCACCTGCTGTCTTTTCCGAGGACTGCATCTTGTCTGTCATTATCAAGTGACAGCAACTAGTCTATGAAAGGCATAAAATGTCACTACAGAGCAGAGAAGCTGACTAGTCAACTAGTTGATACAACTCCTAAAAGCCATTGCATTTAAACTGGTTTCAGTGGTTCTTGTGACAGAAAGTTGACTAATTTAGGATTAGACAGCACTCTGTAGCCCTCTGCAGACCAGAAAATGCACCTAACAGTTTTGTTAGGAACACTAGAGGGAGGTCTCTGCCTGCTTTACATTAATAGCTGTTAACTGTGCCAGTGGCTGATATAAAGGCTAGCGCTTAGCTTTTTCAGTTTGCTGACTGTCAATAAAAAGCACAATAAGGAGCAGAAGAATGTTGCTTTTTTTGTTGGCATCATGGCGGAGCCTGGAAGTAAAAGAGTAATGTCTTTGGAGGTGAAGTAAAGAGCTAAAACCAGAATGCACATGAGCACGGCCTACACTGTTTGAGGGAACTTAAAGGAGGCTACAAAATCATGAACTGATGGTGACCTGGCTTTGTTGCTACTGGACTTATAAGTAATAATATTTTTGTCCAACAGTGTGGAGCCTTTTACTTGGTGGCTTATTTAATATCAGTTAGCTCATGTTGGCATTAGCTCGTTGTTAGCGCTAGCTACAGCAGGGTTGTTCACGACAGTTGTAATTCCACTTTCAACCAGTAGGAAAGAGAAGCAGGAAAATTATTTAGTGTTGTTTATATCACTTTAACCCAGTCTTGGTGATGTCTTGCTTTCATGTTGACATACTTCTGCTTTGAGGCGACTTCCTTGCTCACTTCGCGATGCCTTGCAGCCACAAAATTGATAAATTTCCCATGACTGGAGGTTTTAATCTTCTTTTCAAAATCTAGAAATAAAACAATAATAATGCATTTTATTCACTAAAACCTGCACATAACAATCATATTTAAAATATGCCAACAGATATCTTCTACAGACCTGAAGAAGCTGCATCTTTGGACCACCTGGGCTGGTCTTCCTCCTCTCTACTCTTGGTTTGTCTGTGCAGAGTCGTTCCAACTCTCTCGTTCTCTTTAGCCATCGCTCTCCGTATCTCATCGATCTCCTGCTGCCGCTGCGCTATGATTTCCTCCTGCTTATCCCAACTTTCCTCCACACTCTCATCTGCCTCTTCAAAATCATCCTCGTAATCCTTCAAATAGAAAAATCCCGTGGATTTTTTCTTACAAATACTTTAAAAAAAAATAACAAGAAATTCATCTTCACACCTGCATACTCACCATGATACTCATCAGAGTCTATGTAATTTGATAAAAAACATGCAAAAACAATGAATAAAAGTTAAAAGAAAACACAATATAGCACAAGACACGTAGAAGCAGAAGACTTAGATGTCATATTATGTTACAGCATCGCCTTCACCTCAAAATCATCTTCATACTCTTGGTCCGCCAGATCTTCCTGCAGATCAACCTGAAGAAACATTGCAGATACATATTTCTAGGAATTTGGTGATGCTGAAGCTGAAAGACGATGAAAAAAGCCTAAACCTCTTCCCTTTCTGGTCGCGTCATGGGTCCCTAAAGACCTAACAACCGAATGCAAGCCAACGAGGCTAAAAATGCTAATTTCAAATCCGCTTTGCCTTACGCCCTGGATCGCACATGTTTTACTTCAATTTAAATGAAAAGTAATGATGTGTGTTTCGACCACGCCAGTCACATACTTTGAGATCCACCAGCTTGTAAATATTCGTAGTTATTATGACTACAACCCAGACGTTGGTAGGTGACTACAGAATCTCCTCTCTCCTAGTGTAGCTGCTACATACCACACGGCCAGATTTATGGTGGTTCTTTCCTCCTGGACAAAGGATTCAAAGCTCTCTAAACTTACAGCAATTTTTGTCTATTTTTCTCCATTTATGTCAATTTGGTGATGTGCATTTGTAGTCTTTGACATATTTTCACACAAAACTTAAAATAAATTTTTCCCCCGTTCGAAAATAAGCGCTTTCTTAGCATCAGAATGTGTTTTCAAACTTCACGGACATCATATGTGAAATCTATGGCACATAGCAAACAGGATTAGAAAATTGCATTTTAAGCCCCATTGACTTGCATCAATTTTTTCATTCTTCCAAGGACCCATGGTCCAGAAGTAGATGGGCGTGACTTAGGCTCCCTATTTGAGAACGCATGCAACTAAGTGACCTGCCTGACCAGATCATTAACAAAAGTGATTTTTTTGAAGTCTTTATGGTCACCTAAAGGTGCACAAAGTAAGAAGGACATCTTGTGGTCAAATTCGAGTACTGCAGTCCATGTTTCAAAACAAATCTGCTCTGAGATAGTGCTGCTAGTCACAGCTCATCGCCAAAAGATTCTAGATGATGAATAAAGACGAGTCATACACATTAAGTAGATAAATACATTCCACTGTAATACTGAGTTGTTGGAAATTGAAAAAGTCACTTGAGATCTGACTATAGGGCTTGTGACCACATGTGATTACGCATAGCATTCTGGGATGTGCGCGGACACGTTGGAAGCTTGACGAGTGTAAACAAACCGTGAAACAAACGGTACTGTCGCAGAGAAGAAGCGGATTTCGGTGAAAGAAAGTGTTAAACAACATTAAAATAAAATCCCAAAAAGGATGCGGAATATACAGGGATACGTTATATAAAGGCGTCGGGAACCGGTATGTGGACAAAATCAGCGTTAAAAATGGTTTTGATCCATATGAAAGACCCAAGACAAGAGCACCAATGACATATTGTTGCCGCCGCAGTTCTGCATAACAGACATTTTCGGATTTCTTGTTTGAGATGTGAGTGGATGTAAACGTCCAGATGAGAGGTAAAAGTTTTATTTGTTGGTTTTTCTAGTAAAACAATGAAAATCGTCATCTCACAGAAGAAGTGCAGCAGGAGAAGTTGTGTTGTGTGTCAGTGCAGCCGCATTAGCTTACCGGTATGTGCGTGTAGCCTGTGTGTGTGTTTCGTGTGCATGTAGCGGTTGGAGGAAAGAAACGATGTATAAAAACGTACACCATCTGTAACTTACCAGAAAGAAAATACTCCAGAAGATGATGTTTAGTCACCTTCTAGCTGCAATCCAAGCGATCCAGCAAGACTTTATTATACTAGATACTTGGTCTCTGTGGTTTTGCCTCCAAGCAGGAAAACGTGAAAAGTTAGTTTGTTTTCCACCTTTATTCCCCTGGCGATCACGTGTGTTACCCCACAATACAGCAACCATTTACCATAGTTGTGTAATATAACCAATCAACTGAATCATAGATTCATTTAAGCCACAAGAATGAGACTGAACACGTTGTTTACAGTAGTAACAGGCAACAAGTAAGGACTCACACCTCCAACAGGGCGGCTGCGTCGGCGATGACGTCACGATCACAAGCCCTATTTGTTTCCAAGTCACTGTTAGCATTGTTAGTCTGTTTCATTTGATTCATTGTAGAATTCTTACTTATTGCACCTTTAAAATCTCTAAGAAGTCATTTTGTGTTCATAAAGTTGTAATTTTCTTCTGTTGGTATCTACTTTTGTCATTGTTAATTGAGTGTTATTTATTTCTTTTTAAATGTAATCAATTAAATGTTTATTACTTATATATTCTGATTTCTGTTCCTGTTGCCATCAAGTCTTTTTATTTGCACATATTTCTCAGGACTTTTAATTTTTGGGTATTTATTTTTCCTTCCAAGACATTTTGTGGATCCTTTTAAAAATAAACACATTCTACAAGTTGCTTAAACAACTGCAAAAGGAGCTAAAAGTTGCTAGCTTTGATGCTAGCACAGAAAAGTCAGGCAAAGGATATGATTATTGTCAAAATGGAAAGCGTAGATATTTTGTTGAGTTTTAAAAAACCAAATCATGTCATGCATAAATATTTAAAGGACAGCAGAGGAGATCTTACAGGCTCTTGTGCGTCTTCTTCATCTTTAACATCCGCTCTCCGCTGCTCAGAGACAACTCTGACCTCCTGATTGTTATAAAGCCGCATGTAGATGGACAAAAGAATAAAAAACAAGAGAATTCACAGTAATTATGTTTTACAAAGCTGTAAATGAAACTTAAAGAGGCCTACCAACCTTTGTCTTCTCTCTGTGACTTCTATCAGATGATTTTATCTTAGAATCTGCTTGCTCCCTAATACTTCTCTTGGTGTCTTCTTCTCTGAGTCGTCTCTCTTTGTTCCGCCTGTCTGCATCCTCTTCCTCCTTTTTACTTTCCCTTCTCTCTTTGTGTTTGTCTCTGTCCCTTCGGTCTTTGTCTACTTGGTGTGGGCTGAAACCATCAGCAGATGATTTTATGTCCTGCTGCTCCCAGGATTTGCGCTCCCGTTTCTCTCCCTGAAAATCAGAAAAATCCACACGAGAACAGAGACGCAACTAAATGCTTAGTTTCTGTCCAACATGACTGCAGATGCTTACGTGATGTCCTCTCTCTTTGTGTCTTCTGTCGCTTTCCTCTTCGTGTCTTCTGTGCTCTGAAAACAGGACAGACAGGTAATCCAGACAGGTGACCCAGACACCCTTATCCTGTAAATATTCCAATCCAGGTTTACACACCTCTTCCCTCTTTTTGCTCAGAATGTGTTCTGTCTCTGTGTCTTTCCTGAGTGTGTCCGTCTTTCCTCTTGTCTTCACAGTCCTCTCTGTGCCGTCTATCCCTCTGCTCTATTTGTAGCTTTTCTGTCTCATCTCGTCTTTCTTTCCCACTTTTCTCATGCCGTCTCCTCTCACTCCTGTGCTCTTCTCTCCTCCTTTCCTTGACTGTGTCCTCCCCCCGGTGTCTCTCTCTGTCCCTTACCCTTTCTTTCTCCTCATCTTTGTATCTGTCTCTATGCCTCTCCCTATCACGTGTGTCTCCTTTATCAGGTCTTTTTTCCCTGTTTCCTCCATCATCATCAACTAATCTCTTCCTCTCCTTGTCCTTGTTGTCTCTTCTGTCTTCTTTATCTTTTCTGTCCTTGTCACCTCTCTGGTCTTGTGAGCTCTCTTTTCTTCGTTCTGAATATCTGTCTCTATAATCTCCATCTTTTCTTTCTCTTGTTCTGTCTCTTTCTCTGTGCTTGTCTCCATCTTGTCTCGACTCCTCTGGATCTCGGCGACGTCTCTCCATGGATTCTCCACGGTGCTTTCTCTCACCATCGTCTCTCCTTCTGGCATAGCCATCATCGTAAGCTTTTTCCTGAAAAATATTTTTCGAAAAATGAAATCAGTCATAGTCTAGTTTTTAAGTTTCATATAATATTTAAATCCAGTTCTGTTGTGATTTTTTTTCTCAGTTTTCAGTGACTTACTGTGATGTGTCTTCTCAGGTCAGCAGGTCTCCATGTGTCTTCTTTTGTTATTTTCTAAAGAAACATAATGTTGGTGTTAACGTAATAAATAAAATCACGTTAATTTTGCTCAAAAACAACTAACTGAGAACAAATTTCTAAAAAAAATTTGCACAAACACTTCCGTTGTCTGACTTGAATAACTTGCTAAATTGTGAGCATGCAAACAAAAGCGAGGAACTCAAACACGTTACCTTTTCCCGGTGCATGCTCTTGTCGTTTTTTGCCCTTAAAAAGCTTTTTTTTTTATCTCCAAAAATAACCGTGTTCTTTTCTACTTTACGACGCCATGGTGGTAAATGCCTGGAGCGCATGCGCACTTGTCTGAATCCATGGAGAACGCGTCAGTTCGACTTAACAACAGGTTTATTAATCAATCAAAGAGCAATCGATGGATTCAACAGCCAGTTGCCAGGGGCAGCTGTGAAAGCCTTTGTTCATATTACGAACAAATAAATTACCAAACTAAACGTGGTTTTTGTCAGTAAATATATTATCATAGTTTTATATATTGTATTTCTTCTACTTTAGTTTTAGACATGTCTATTTATGCGTTTTCTAAAGTCAGCGATTTATCTGTGCTCCCTTTAGTTCAAAACAAAAAACGATCGCACATGCTGGGCCATGCAATAATTAAATAACCCCTAAAAACTAATTGATTGATAGAATTATATTTTTAGAGAAGCAATTTTACATCTTGACCTACTTTTTAAGAGAAAAGAGATTTGATATCAGAGTTTTGTTACACGTACTGACCACTAGATGGCGGTGTTTCTTGTTTTCTTTTTCTTTTCTTTTTTTAAAGCGTTTCTAGTAGTGGTGGTGCAGTTTGCTCTTTCTTGGAAGTGGTCGTTCCCACCCAGTGTATGACATTCGCAGGAGACCAGCACACAGGCATGCTTTGTCCAGCTGTTCGTGCTGAAAAAGAATAAAGCAGATGCCAGCGAGGCTCGGCGAGGCGATGGGAGGGAGCGCAGGTGAGCCGACGTGAGACAGCAGCGCTCACATGGGAACTGTATCGCTCTATCCGATCCGCGTTTTGACACTTTAATGGACACGTCAGGAAACAGCATGACTGCTGTACGAGGAGCGCACTCAAACAACGCGAGCCCCTCTCCATCCAAAGAGAACGGACACACCGCTCAGCCCAGCCCCAACTTTCCCCATCCCTCAGCGGGGAGCGAATCCTACGACACCTCGGTGTATTCCACCAGCGAGCTGACCCAAACCTGGGTCCACTTCGTCAAAACATTCGTGCTCATCTTTCCCATTTATGTCCTGGGTTATTTCGAGTTCAGTTTCAGCTGGCTGCTGATTGGACTTTTTATCTTTTTCTGCTGGAGGAGAACCACAGGAGGGAAGCACACCCGGCTGAGCCACGCTCTGGCTTTCTTTGACCAAGAGGAACGAAGTGCCAACCAGGGGCTCACCACCTCTGATTTACCACCATGGGTAAGACCACTAATAAATCTAACCTGATGAATCTGTCTTACTACAGAGAGGGAGATCTTTTCTTGTCAACAATGTTTTTCCTGGAAAGTGAACCATCAGCTGATCTGATCAGGTGGGGCATGCGGGACAAGCTGTAAAGCTGCGATGAGCCAGCTGTCCCCAAAACGGTGACATGAGACTGGTCCCAGTCTAAAAACAGAAGGGTACAATGGTAAACCAGACACCAGGCTGGGAGGGAAAACATGTCCACAGGGTCTCTGTTATTTTAGGATCCATGCTGACCATCCCTCCTGCAGAAATCCAGCCTATTTCAGCAACACTTGATCTGAGCTAAAGCTTGTCCTACAAGTCAATAAAAATCGTTTAAGTGCTTTAAACCTACCTAATCAAATTGAATTGGGGAAAATTGAGTAAAAATTAAAAACAATCCCATAAAAGTTTTTTCTAGACCATCACATATTTAGTATTATAGCTTATGAGAACGGTTTTGACTTTATTATAGGCCTAAGATCAACACAAACACAATTTTAATCTAAAATTACACCAAAAAGAAGCTCCATAGATTCAAAGCTGCATCACAAGTCAACTGGCACAATGAAGGCGTTCCCTATGAAACCCCTCTATAATTATTCCAATACGTTATTATACTGTGAGAACAGTTAAAAGCACGTTTTGCTGACATGTGGCTGAGGTTGCATTGAGGCTATTAAGTGGATCAGCCTGAAAGCATCTCACTTAAAGCCATAGAACCCCCCTTGTCTTTGAAGGCAGGGATCTATCAAGGAGCAAGCTGAGAATGTAACTCAGCTCAAGCCTGTGGCTGCTGTCCCGAATCAGTGACACTTTTTAATGCTAAATTAGCACAAATCACATTTGCAGACTCTAAATAAACAAATTATGTATTTAAAGATATGATATAGATGTCACCTCTTCTTTCTGGCAGCATTTCACTTGTTTATTATGCTGTTATATCTTTTTTAGAATAACTTGTTGCATCTGCTCATTAAAGTTTGGACACATGAGGCATGAAAAAAGGGTTTTGGTTTATTAAACATATAGGAGAAAATGTAATCTGCTCATGGGAAAATAAACCTGGATGTATTCTAACAACTAGGATTAAGCGTTTGTGTGAGAACAAAAAAAAAAACTATCCTAACCCAACTCCACCACTAATAAACGAGAAACTAAAAACTGAACAGAATAAAAGTAATCTAAATGAATTATTCTAAAAACACAAAATCAGCTAAAAATACCCAAACCAGCATGACGAGAGCTGGGTTAAAGTTAGGCTTTGACCCAGAACCGAAACAGCTAAGCTCAAAAATGATATTTAATCATATTTGGTCATTGTTTGCAATAGTTTTATTTATTGTACTCTTGTGTGTGTCTTTGCTCTCATTTTGCATTTTCTTTTTGCGTTTTCTTCTTCCAGTGACCCAACGCGTTTTATTTAGTTTTGCATTTCTCTGCAGCCAGTTTGCATCCAGGGGTGGTACTTTTAGTTTTATCCCTTAATGCATGTCTCTTTTATAGTTTTATCACTGATTTCAACACCTTATTTATTTGTCCTCGTTGATTTTTATTGTTGATTCTGACTCAGTGGTTAATTTTCATCTTTTTCTGGTCTATTTCCTTTCTTTTCAGTCCTTTACTTAATATTTGTTTGCATTTGCGCATCTCCGTGTGCTGTCGGCTGGAGTTTTTTTTAAATTAATTTTCCAACTTCTTCTGTAACGTTTGTAGTTGTTTTTACAATATAAAAGTGACATTTCATTTGCTTTACCTCTGTGAGGTGATGAGGGGAGGTTTTTACACAGAATCACACTTTCATCAAAAAAAAACCTTCGGATATAGTCGGGTTTACACCAGAGGTTTTGGGATTGACGCAAATGTTAATGGTTACAGTTTGCTGCTTCTTTTTATGCAATTTCAGTTTCAGTTAAGTCTGTCTTTGCTGTGAAAATAAACTTAACCCTAAAAGAAACAAGGAAGTGGACTCACTTGTAATGTAGCCTCAGGACACAGACACAAATAAAGAATGGTACCTAAACGACGTCCTTGAGGAACACCATTGAGGGCAATTTGGTGAAGAACAGTTTCTTTTTCAGCTTGATTTAGTTTTGGTTCTTTGAATTTGAGGCAGGTGGGGAAAAAACACAATTTGGGATTATGCAAGAATAACTCAGAATGTGATTGATGTCATGCTACTGTGAATTGTGGAGATCTTGAAAGCAAAGGGCCAACAATGCAAATATAGGCTCTTTTTATATATTTTATGTAAATTGACTATAATTGTACTTTAAAGTAGCCCTAGAAACATCTGACATAAAGATTAAAAAGCAACATGTATCATTCTAAAAACTTAAAGTAGTGTTTAACATTGCTTCAGCACTGAAAACTCACAACAAATATTCTATATAATCGGTTTTATGCAGCAGTAGCTGTTCACTAAAGTGAATTGTGATCCCCTCCCTTGTATTGTCTGACGTGTTTATTCACCTATAATAAACTATAAGCCTGAATTCAGCACACCAGCTGTAGTTTTCTGCTCCCTATCGTCCCGCTCTGGTCCCTTGCTGTATAAGCACCTATGCTGACTCGTCCTATCTTCCACACACTTCTGGTCACTTGGAACTCTTCCTTTTCTGCTGCCATTCTGTGATAGACATCTTAAATTCTGAGACTGAGAGCTGGTGTTATTCCTCTTTCGTTTCAGCTAATCGAATTGTGCATCTCTGCACTACGCTGTATCGATTCTGTTTCAGACATTTATTTTATGTGAAATCAATGCCTGATTTACTTTGGTCATTCCACATGATTATTCAAACTTCACTTCAGGAGCAAGTCAAGGATGTGCTGTGAATGTCTGGAAATCCAACTGTTCACATTCAGTAAAATCGTGAAGTTATTAAATCCTAATTCAGATTTTTAACTGTAATTTTTAAGGAGCAATATGTAACAATTCTACAGTGAGATAATCACAAAACAGTCTAATGTGTCAATCATGTTGGAAGTCCAACAAAGCCGATTAGGCTTTTTACAACATTTGACCCATTTTATCTTAACATTTATCTGTTTTTGTTTAACCGGCCAGCTCTCGTTGACATACATCATCTCTTCTTCAGATGGTGGCTTAGATACAGATTAAAACCACAATCATGTCAAAGTACAAGATCACAAATACAAGAACAGCATTACTTATTCCTTTAAGAAATGCATGTTTTCATGCTTTTCCATGACACAGTTTTAAATTAAGATGGTCGTATTTTGAAAAGTTTAGCCATTTCGGTTGAATCGTCTTCCAATATAAGAATTTACAGCTCAATATGTTTTAAATTGCCTGAGTTCTAGCCATTTTGTGTTTACTATGTTGGATTTAAAAAGGTGGACTTCTAGCCTGGCAAGCCATTCTATATGTGTAAATGTATAGTCTGACCACAACCCATAGAAGGAACTCAGTCTTAGGAGTGGTTTTACAACCCTTACCTTTGGGAGAAATGAAGTCCCATCCTTCAGGCAAACAAATGCCGATGTGCCAGTACGACCAGATGATTGGGATGTCTCTGTATACGCCCCTCTGCCTCCTTATCTTGTAGTCACACAAGTCAGCTGTAACCTATGGGGGCTCATCCGGGATATACTTTTGGACTTATAGGAGAAGCCAGGACTTGGAGTTTCTAAAAAATTGGAGTATTGTGTTTTGTAGCCTGGTAGGGTTGGACATCGAGCATCAAGTATTGATTGGAACTGGAATTAACTGTCAGTTTTCCCCTGAATCATTGGAAGTTTTTTATTTTGAATCCTAGTTTTGATTCCTAGTATGCCAACCGGAAGAGGAATCTGCGGCCAATCTCCGTGAAAAACGTGATCTGCAAATTCTGATCAATGCCTTTCAGAGCTGATCACACCAGCTGTCTGTCGGTCCTGCCTTGCAGTCCACAGCAGAGCAGCGTTGCGACCCCTGACACTGCGTCGCCGCTCATTGGCAAAAATGTAAACAAACACATCTGCCGAACTTTCTCCGTGATGTAAACTTTAATTCCTGTAGTGTAAAATAAGGCATGGAGGAAGCTGTCACGATCTGCTCCTACCTCCCTCTGACTCTTACTCTCTCCTGCCCCTGATTAGTTTTTATTGGTCTCACCTGCCCATGTGTTCCTGATTGTTCCCCGTGTATTTATACCTCCCATCTTCATGTATCCCACGTCGGATCATTGTTGTTGTTGTTGTGTCTCGTTGTTTCCTGCTGTATCCTCTGCCATTAAATCCATTTTTACGTTACCTGAGCCTGCATTCCTGCCTCCTGGTCAGCTCCACCACACATGGTCCACCGCCACCCTCACCTCAGTGTGACAGAAGCTTGTTAAAATGCGTCAGCACAGTGGATTTGATACAATTTTTAAAGAACGAACTCCAGTCGGTGTGAGGTGAGTGTTTAAGACTCACTGCAGAAATAAAAACACACGGAGCATCAACAGTCAAACGCAGCCACTCACCAACACTCGTCTGTGTGAGTGTGACCGTCAGAAGGCAGAGTGATAACCTGTTAAATAATAAGTCCGCCATACACCATCGAAGAAGTGAATACATCATAGAGCGCTGCGATTGACCCGGCCTAAACGTAGCCAAGCCAATAGTAAACCTGCTGAGGAGTGTGGCTAGACCAACCAACCATGCAGAGTAAAAGCTTCTTGCTATTGCTACTAGGGCTGTCGCAATAATCGCAAGAACAATATATCGCGATATTAAGAAACCCACCGCGCTGCATGACGTGCCACCGCAATTACCGCACTTGATTAAATCTCGCGACAGCGCATGCTGAGAGGTAAAGTCCGCGCTGATCGAGGAGATAGTAGGGCACTTTTTCTTATTTCTGTTAGATGTTGCAGCCAAATTTGCATTTCAAAGTTAAACCTCCTGAATGTTGTTTTTAAGTTCAGTCAGAGAATGCCGTTACTGCCCTTTGATCTGCATTCAATAAAGTGTTAAAAATGGCCATGTTTTTTTTTCTAACATTTTTTAAATGTGTAAGCACAATGTTTCAAAGGAAATATTGCCATGAGTTTAGTACTTAACAAACAAATTTGCTAAGTACATAAATAAAAACGGAGTGCAATAATATCGCATATCGCAATATTGAGCTGCCCTGACTCACCGCAGGGGGAATTCCTCAATCGCGACAGCCCTAATTGCTACGGCTAGTGAACTCTAACAGTGGTAATGCAACGTGTTGCATGGATCATGGATGGATCTCAGCTATTACAACACAACATTGTAACTTTATAGTCATGACATTTACTAAGTTGCAGCCTCTGGTAATACCAGTGTTCACTGATATGAGTTAGTGAATGAGGACATTTAAATTGTTTACATTACATTTAAACCAGCAGGAAAAAGACAAAATATGAAGTTTGCATCAAATATGTTTTTTTTTCTGCATTTTACTGAAAGTAACAAATAATATTTTCTCTGTTTCATTTTAGGTCCATTTCCCAGATGTGGAGAGGGTGGAGTGGTTAAACAAGGTAAAAAAAAGAGATGAAAATCCACCATCCTGTCTCCATTTGGGTGCGTCGCTGACTCTGTTTATTTATTTATTTGTTTGTTTTTCCTGAAGACTGGGCTGAAAGGGAAGCCGGCCACCCTGCCCCCCGCGTTGCCACACTGCAGCACATTTGACTTTAACATGCAGCCTTGTGTCTGCAGCAGTAGGAATCCCCATGGCAACAGCCGGGACGTGCACTCAGTCTCATTCATAGATCAGGATTTAGGGGGGAATTTGAGGGGGAATAAAAATTGCATGTTGATGATAAAGACTTTGACACAGCTTCCTAAAATACAGCAAGATACTGATATCGTATTCACGCTCTTGCACCTGCACAAGAGGTTACCGAATAGAGGCCGTTACAGCACATACAACTACAATAAAAGTCCTTCCTCTGTTTTTGTAGACGGTGAGACAGATGTGGCCGTACATCTGCCAGTTTGTGGAAAAGCTGTTCCGCGAGACGATCGAGCCGGCGATAAAGGAGTCCCACGCCCACCTCAGCACCTTCTGCTTCAGCAGGATCGACATGGGGGATAAAGTGAGCATCCTGGCTTTAGCGAGCTGTCATGTGTTGCTTCAGTTGTTGCAAAACCAACCAGTGTCAGCAGGTGCCATGCGACAGCTGGGGAGGGTGCTGCGTTGAACGTGAACATGCGCCACATAGAGGTCACCGACGCCCGCTCTGGTTTCTCAAATAGTTTCCATGGAAGTGTGTGCGTGGGGGGGTCGCCCATATGCCTTGAGCATGGGTGTCGATGGGAGTATTGTTGTGGTGTTAATGGATCGTTGTGTTATTTTGCAGCCCCTCAGGATCAACGGGGTCAAGGTTTATACAGAAAACGTGGACAGAAGGCAGATCATCATGGACCTGCAGATCAGGTGAGTCAACTTTATCGTTCCCCTCCATGTTTTTGACTTTTACACATTTCATTCTTGATTATCGTAGTGGTGCTTTGCTCCAAACATTCATTGAACGATTTAAGATCAGCCGGCGTATCTGTTTACAATACAGCAAAACCAACGCATGTGGTTTCAGTTGTAAATAAATACCCTCGTCTCATCCTGCAATGAAAATCCCTCCATCACCAGTCAGACCGGGCCCACTGCGATGTATGAAACCCGTGTTCATTCTGTTAGCAACGATCCAGTCAAAATCAACCAAAATGTCATTAAATACGCTTTTCTGACTGACTTTGCTAAGATCTAGTGAATCTGTTTCAAAGATCAGTTTTTCTGTTATCAGTTATTTAACACAGACTGGTTTAGATGACCTTTCTCAGTGGCCTAGTGGTAGAGTGTCCGCCCTGAGTCTGGGAGATCAGGGGTTCGATTCCTGGTCGGGTCATACCAAAGACTTTGAAAAAATGGGACCCGATGCCTCCCTGCTTGACACTCAGCATTAAGGGGTTGGATTGAGGGGTTAAACCACCAAATAGTTCCCGAGCGTGGCTGTGTCTGCAGCTCACCGCTCCCCCAGGGGATGGGTCAAATACGGAGAATAAATTTCGCACACACACCTGTGTGTGTGACAACTAATGGGACTTTAACTTTTTAACTTTTATGATCATAAAATCAGATTCACTGTATAAATGAGCAGAAAAACTCTTAAGATGGTTGTAAAAGGAAAAGAAAATACAAGAAAAAATGTCTTCAAATAATAAAAATGTTGGTGTTTTCTTAGCTGATGCAGGAGTAAAGAAGAATACATTACGAATTAATAACTTGTTAAAGAAGGAACTGTTAAGCCATCTGAACATGAATCTGGTTTTAGCGAGAAATCAGAAACTTTGTTTTGCTGTTCAGTAAATATATTCATCTTATATTCATCCTTAGTTAATCTCTGGTTAATATTGCGATCATTTCGGCAGCGAACGACTTAATTGATCAGAAAGTGGCGTTCAATGACCAGAGGAAGGGTCTTTAGGAGAACACAAAGAGACAAAAAATACCGTGTTGTGGTGGGATAACCGGCGGATTTTTTGCGTTGGGAGTTTAGAAACATTGCCGACATTATTTCCTGCCGAGTTACAACCAGTCACATCACGAGTCGTCTCAGGGCCAGTTCAGGAACTCGGTTGGTCCCTGAAATTGCCAAGAAAAAGGTCTTTTTGGACTGGCCCGGTGAAATGAAGACACGTACACGCTGCAAAGGTCCAGTAAAATTAGCCACAAGTTCTGATAATAGAAACAGGCCTTAAGGATAAAAAAAAAATCAGCTTTGGTTTCTAGGCAGGTTGACTCCAGTCCTGCAAGGCAGTCCAAAGCATTCCCGTTCCTCGACTTCAGTTCAGTTATAGTAGAATCATAATAATGTGTTTTTAATAGGAACAATTCTCATTTTTAGCCTGTGACAAACTTTCATATTGGTAACTTGGTTTAACGTCTCAAAAAGTCCAGACGTCACTCCTTGCAAGGAGAACGTTTGCAAAAGGACCTTTTTTGTTGTGTTTTTGTCAAGTGGTGATTTTTCTGGGGACTCAATGTAGTTTGTAATGCAACAAAGAGAGGCGTACGCAAGGAAATAATCAAAGAAGCAAACAAGAAATCAGGAAACCACAGCAAAGGTGGATAGGAACGAGCGTGACAGAGATGCTGAGAACTAGTCCAACTGGATGGGAGTCATTGCTGGATGGGAGCAGGTGAGATCATTGACAGACGTAGTGAGTAACGAGCTGGAGAAAGGAGGACCGAGTGAGATAATGGTTGATGAAGACAGGAAGGGAGAGGAACAGAGCGGTAACACCATGCCAGGTTTTAATCATTTATTTTCTTCCTCTCATCTCTGAGTTTCGTCAAATTTAACTTGGAAATTAGCTAAATAACCAACAACATCAACACAGGTGACGTCTCAAACCTCCACCTGCACGCGCTTTAGCAAACACACTCCTCTTTAGAAATACAAGTTGAACTCTAAAATGTTAGAGCAGCCTTAAAAAAGTGATAGAGACGAGGTGGGAAGCATCCATCTCTGACGTTTTATTTGCTTCACAGCTTCGTTGGGAACACTGAGATCGATGTGGACATCAAACGCTACTACTGCAAAGCTGGAATCAAGAGCATCCAGGTGAGGAAACAGCTTTTGATTTGATTTATTTCACATCCTGAGAGAAGTACACTAGTCTTGGCATCAGGTTTGGTCTCAGTGGTGGGCCGCACAAACTATGACTTGTTTTCTTGACTTTTTTTTTTTTTGGAGAAGCAGAACAACTAACTTCCTTTTTTGTCAACATCTCCACTGCTTAAAATGATTTAGTCTCCATAGCAGATGTAGTTGATGAACACATATATTCCACTCGTGCGCTTGGTTGCACGGCCAACCTAATTTCCTCCTTATAATTTGATCCACCTTTGATATCTGAATTATTGATGTAAGCAGCTCAGAAAGGACTGAATTTGGACCTTAATTTAATCATGCAGGTTAAATATTTTCTGCACTTTTTTTACTCTCTGGGTTAAATCTAAACTATGTCTTCTTGGGATTAACTGGTAAAACTGTGGGCTGCATGGTGGTGCAGTTGGTAGTGCAGCGTTGGTGTCGCTGCAGTAGCATAGTTACCTTGCTGTGAGATTGTTGCAGGTTCAAATCCCACTGCAGCAGAGTTAGCATGTTTTCCTCATGCATGCATGCACTTTTATTAAACTTTATTTTAAGAACTCCGGTTCTCTCCCAGTGACCAAAAGCATGCATGTTAGATTAAATGGATTCTCGAAACCGCCTCTAGGTGTGAGTGAGTGTGTGCTTGGTTGTCTCCGTGTGTCCCTGTAATGGACCTGTCCGGGGTGTCCCCCACCTCGTGCATGATGACTCCAGGAGACAGACACCAGCTTCCTGTGACAGTAGTTAGGAAAAGGGGTTCTGGTAATGGACGGATGGATAAATAAAACAGAAATATTCCACACAATCTAGAAAAAAATCTGGGGAAACCAGAAATAAATGTTGCAGAAAAGCTTTTAGATTTTCTCACATTATTGTTTTCTTGGTTGGTTGTACAGATTGGAAAACGTGTCATTCAAATAGATCGATATGGGGTTTTCCATGGCCAACACCGATGCCGATTGTAGAAATCAAAGCCATTGATGGCACAAGAGCAATTTTTTTTAATTTTTATATTTATTTTCACCAAATATGTAGTTTCTGTTTGACCAAAATGTAACATCATTTATTGAATTAACCTAAAAGACCTTGGACATGATGGTCTTTATAGAAAATTATTCTTGCTTTAAAAATTAACCCCTGGGTCACAGAGAGTTGATTCCAGCAGCTGCTTTTACTTATCCCTGCTCTGTGCTCGATTAAGTATGCTTTAGCATTATTAATGAAAAATTGGCAAAAATCATCAGATTAAATGAGCCATCTGATTAATCAGTCCAAATGAACATCCCAACTTAACAAGAACGTATAAAAACACCATTATATAAAGCATTAGCGTCACTTTATACATTTGTGACTGTTATAGAGTGAAAGATGCTAAACTAAAATCCTGTTCTCAGTCTTTCTGCATACCCATAAGTTACTGCAGAGAAACATCAGGTGAAATCTGCACTCCTCCCCAGAGCACTGTAAAGGTTCCCTAGGGAGGCGTTTGCTGCTCACTGTCCCCGTTGCATAACTGAAGTACAACCGCATAGAGTCATTAAGAACCACCCAGGCACTGGAACCAGTCAGTCTTACCCAGAGCAAGTGTGTCTAACCTGATGAAAGTGATCAGATTAGTAAAGGCTTGCTGGTGGGCGAGGGTAAACACTATTGTTCTTATGACTGTGATGAGTTCCCCTATAACTACAGCGACTCTTCATAAAATGTCAGAAACTCAAACGAATCACAATCTGAGATGATTTTTTCTGAATGTACTCATTAAAAACTCTTTATTTGATGTATATAAATCTGCATTTTTATCAAGACTTTTCAAAAGTAAAATGATCATAACAACAGTGGGAAATGTAGCACTGATTATTCAACTGGTGCCTGGAATCGACAGATTTTCAACAACTCAGAAATGAAAGTAGATATTGGCTAAAAGTAGCTATGAATCACTGAGTGATGTCACGACCAAATTAGCATAATTTATCTCATGGATATAAGCGTGGCTCTAGGGCTGAGGTAAAAAGAACAGAAAAGAAAACAGAGACTTCTTTGGATAGATGCTGCCATCTCTTTCTTTGCATGCTATCGCGTGAACTGGAGAAATCACTCGTGATTTTGCAATTCTGCGATGATTTGGTGACACGACTGGACCTGCTGTGTGTAACACAATTGCTGTAAAAAAGCTTCTGGGACATACCTCTGAGCCCACGGGCAAATTGCATCTATTACATTTCACGCCGCTTTCCCCATTCCACACTGGAGGCATCAGCAGCGTGGAACGGCAGCGGAATGATTTACTCGCATGCTTTGCAGCACTTAAAGCCACACCAGCGGAGCGTCTCTGAAGCGGCATGGCTTCTCTGCTGTCCTCGCTATACCCGTGAGATCACAAGCTCCCTCGAGACTTCAAATGTCACGGGTTGTTCATGCCATTCACCATTAAACCAAAAAGAATGAAATCACGTTTGATATCGTATATGTTGTGCTACTTTACTGCCAGAACTAAAGCCATGAAAAACACACCGTTGCAGTTCTTGATAGATGCTGGTGTAAATAATGTAACTTCACCAAATGGACTGATTTTGAGATCCCACCGTTCATATGCACGGCCAGAGCAAATAACCCCGGCTACACAAGTTCTGCTGTATTTTACCCTGACAGGAGATGGAATGTCTGCACGCAGGCTCTTTAATCAGATGACTTCATCAGCTGAACTGAAGCTTCATCAGATAATAAAGATGAACAGTAGCATTCCTTTCCCCAAGGTTCCTCACAAGAGAACTCCTAAAATAAACTTTTATTCCCAGAAGAAAAGAAGATTCCATAATATAAGTAATCATTTTATATTTCAGAATAATCCTTGAAGAAAAGAAGATCTTACAATTAATAATCACTAAATATTGCCATGTATAATTATAAATGATGAAATGTTTCACAAATCTGTTCAATGTATGTTTACTGGATTAGATCACTCACACCAGACAAGAAGCAAGGCTAAATTAAGAAGCAGTACACATAAACGAACCTTGTTTCGCAGACTCAGCGGTTCTGCATCACAGAGTGTGCGTTCTGAGAATTCTTGATAACTTTGGTAATAGATAAACAGCGGGCTATAAAACCAGCCGCTCTGCTTCCACCCAGAGACAAGTTCGAACCTCCAACAGAGCGAGGGTTGGAGAGCAAAGCTTTAAGACTGGCCATCTTTAGCTGAGCTACCAAAGGATTTTGACACACTGTCAATACCCTTAAACCTTTGCACCTGCAAAGCTGACGACAACAAGAGATTTTTCCTGCAGAGCAAAGCTGATTTTGCAACACTCCTTCAGAGTGGTTTTGAGACGCTTGGTTTCATCCAGTCCACCTGCGTTACCTGGAGCGATCCTGGACCGACCTGGTCGTACTAGGAGTTGGTCTATGGACTTCTGTCCCCAAGCCCCTGACATCTCGGATCCGCAAGGGCGTCTCCACTTGGGTACGTAGAACACAGCGAGAGAGCGTCTGGATGCAGCTTGATAAGAACAGCTTACAGCTCAGATGCAAACCAAATTATTTTATTATCCAGAACTCACCTCTCTCTGAGATGCGGAAATTTTGACTCTGAAATACTATATTCACACCTAGTTTCAGACACCCATCTCTTAGTTCGCATCCACTCACAGTAAATAATAGTTAAACCATTTGTCGAGGCTTAAAATTGTTTGTAAAATAAATTCTTATTTGTTTGCAAACACTGACTGGTTCTTGAATCAAAGCAAAGTGTGACGACCCCTTAATAATTAAAAGAATCCTAGAACCTTCTAATTAATCATCCTAAGACCAAGCAAGATGATACTCTAGTCTATAATAATAGAGTATTACATCTATGGGTCACAAAGTAATGAGAATAGAAATAAATAGCTCTTAAGCAGTTTATTTAATCCAATTTACCCTCTATTGACTTCATTACAATAAGCTAAGGTCACATGTATTGACGTAATCTACATAGATAATAAATCGCATCTCTGCAATAGTCTTTTATTTTGAAAATTACCAGACGTTTTACTCAGATACTGTGTTTGACTTCCTGTCTAGCCCTATGTGAACTGCATAAATTAGCGCATCGTATGCTCGGCAGGCCACTTCTGGGATGCTCCTGAAATGTTCTGCGCCGCGGCCTGTTTGGATCAACCCCATAGACCACAATGGATTTTAACTGAAACCCGGTGCCTCCAGTGTGGATTGGGGTTATGCATCGACTGGAAAGCCCAGGTTCAAGCAGAACAGACTCGAAAGATAAAATCTGGTGGAGAGTGTTATTATTATGTTTTATGTATGTTTTATTGTTTGTTTCTTGATGTCTGGTTTAGTTTTTAATCTTAGGTTTACACACGGGCTTACGTAGTAACCAGAGATGGGGAATTGTGGCATCAACAAGTCATCTCCGTGCCATGTTTTTCTTCAGCTCAGCAACTAAACCAGGTGTGATTCAGGACGAGTCCAGCTAGCAGCAGCGTCACATATTCCTTATTCATTTGGCATCTGAATGCAAAAGAGTTAAAATCTCCTGCTCTGAGTGCAGCTTAATGACTGGGCAGCCTGTGAGTGCTTTGGGACTGGGTAGAGGGTTTTGTGATTTCAAGTCAGTCTCCAAAGTATTTCAGAAACACCAGAAAAAGCCTCTAGACCTGTCACTTGTTGTTTTAGTTGCTAGAAGGGTTTGAAAATTTGACCAAAGTAGTGTCAAAGTTGCTAAGCTAGCAACACTCAAAAATTAGATTATTCTGAGCTAAAGTAGCTAGCAAAAATGCATCTTGTCCCATCATGTAAAAGGCTGAAAAAGGAAGTTGTAGGAAAGTAAAGGAGGTGCACAGAGCTGTAAAAATGATAATGATTCTGCTGCTTGGTAACATATGGCCTGAAGGGTTTCATTTAGGCACCAGCCGCTACTTAAACTGGTGATAAATGTAGGTTTCTACCCGGCCATCAGGAGACAAAAAATACTTATAAAATAAAATGTATACGTTAAGTTTCAGGAAGTAAGTGTCTTTCTGAATTTTGCCTTCATGAACCCAAAAATGAAACAAGAAAAGACGTTGGTTGTCACTTTTGTGAAGAACTGCATGTAGACACTAAACGCGTTCTGGAAGCTTTTCCGACTACAAATCCTCAAATTAAAGCTAAGTTTCTAAAATAAATAAATGTGTGTTTGAATTGAAACTTTCTTCCCTGCTGTGGATCGCAGCAGCTGCTTGGTGTGAATGTGACGCGACCAAAGCGCACCCAAAGACTCTAATCCTTGTAATTTTCATAAAACGGTATGGAGAAGGTGGAGGATGACAGCGGCAGGTGCGAAGCTGGACAACGATCAAGTTTCCGACCTGTCATGTGTTTCAGCTCCACCGCCGAAGAATGTCACGGGCCAGCAGTGTGTGTGTGTGTGTGTGTGTGTGTGTGTGTGTGTATCAGCGTGAGCCCTCCTAAGCTGTGTGTGTGTTTGTGTCTGCTTGTATCAGTGTTGTTCATCTTGTGTTTCCATAGATCCACGGCGTGTTGAGGGTGGTGATGGAGCCGTTGCTAGGGGACATACCTCTGGTTGGAGCTCTGTCCCTGTTTTTCCTCAAGAAGCCAGTAAGTGCAGATCACACTATGACAGTGAATAATTCAGTGAACCTTTAGTGTTGCACTAATAGTGCAGTCTACAAACAAGCTATTTAATTAGGTCAGAACATATTAAACTGGGATTTGTGTTTTGTTAGACAAAATCAGATTTCTTTCTTTTCTAGCACCTGAGTGGGTTTTTACAGAGCTAATTAGCCACACTATTTCTGTTAATTTGCTCAGTTTTTGCTATAATTGCTACAATGAATCTAAAGTTTTTTTATACCTCAAATTGTATTTCATTAACCGGTTTGTGTTCTTTTTTAGTCAGAAATGATCACCCTTACTGATCATTTTGGCCAGATTGCTGCTGAATCAGTTCATGGCTCATGTCTCTTAATTTCTCCTGAGTTTCTTTTCTAAGTCCGGCCACCCACGGTCTAGGCTTTAACTGCTTAACCAGCCACCTGATGTGATTTGTGTTTATGTTGCCTGTTTTTTCCAGCGAGCGATCTATCGACACTCCCCTCTTTCTCGGTTCAACCATTCTGCAGAGCCGCTGCTGCAATGCTTAAAGTTGTTTGACCGATTTATAGCAAACGGTGGGACTCAGCGGAGCTATAATGGGGCTTTAAATAGCTGCACATCATGTCAGACCTACTTTGGCTGATTTCTCATCCTAAGGCACAAAGCTTGAGCTCAAGGGGAGGACGAAGTAAATTAAAACGTAAACAAACACTTCTCGATCCTCTCACAGCTTCCTGTTGAACGATGTGACATCATTCCACCAAAAAAGAAAACTAATCCAGTTTTGTGTTGGTTTAAAGAGTTATCTTTGGTTCTGTGTGCCGTACAAGGCTTGACTCGGAGTGTTAGGCGAACCAGAAACATTTCCAGACCATAAGAGGCTTTTTCCAAGCCTGGACTGTTTGCTATCTCACTGAATGTGAATCAGTGCAGTGTAAATATAATAATATGCATCACATTCTGCAGTGAGGCCTCTGAGGAGGTTTTATTGCAGCAGCTCTGATGAACAAACACTTGTTTTTATGAGTGACTGAAGCAGAATACCGCAGTCAAGCTGCTATTGTTGCTGGTTGTGTTACAAATGGGATTATTGTTGTTAATTAGCATGCTTATTTTAATTGAGTGCATTGAGACAATATTTAGTAAACAAATAATATCAGATTGTTAGTAAAAAGAGTTGTTTTTAAGCAAGTTTATTTAGCTAATGGTTCTTTGGAAATTCTTATTTTTTTGTAAGTCACCCCCCTACCAGAGTCTTACTCCACCCACATTTCATGTTTGAAAAACACACCAAAAAGGACCAAGGGGGCGGAGCTGCGGTAGTGAAACACACTGCACCCCCTGCTCTGAGATTCTCTGATGGAGAATCGAGCCGCTAACACACACACACACACACACACACACACACACACACACACACACACACACACACACACACACACACACACACACACCCCGCCTGGAGGGAGATTCTTGGCTGGAATTTTTATCCCAGTCTGTCCCTGACAGGGATACTAGCTCCTTTTCCGCAGAGCGCCCTGAGTCGTATTGTTTCCTATTGGCTCGTGAATTGCCCAAGCCCACCGATGTCGAGCATTGGCTGCGACGCCTCTGCTCTTATAAAGCACATCGGTGGTGCAGCTGACATCACAAATACATACGTTACATATCACCTCTTGGCAAGTGGCGGAAACAGATGTAGTGCAGACTTTTAACCTGAAGAGGGTGTCACCTTGGCATTATAGCAATTAAAACATAGTAATGATGACCAATAAGATGTGATGATTCCATATAAATATGAAATATCAATCTGATTGATCTTTGAATGTTTAGTCAGAAGATTCTATGGTTCTTTGCTTCTTTAGGGACCATAAACACACTTCGTATTAATTCAGAAAGAGTCAGGTATATAGTTTATAAAATTAATTTAATGATTTTTCCTAAACTAATAATTTATAAATGACAAGATATGAATAATGAGATGTTGTGTGGTGGATGTGAGGTGTTGTGATGGAAGCTAGATGTTGTAGCAACTGTTCTTTGTGTCTGAGAGAAAGCGTGAAATCTGGGTGTGAAAGAATTTGTTGTTTGGTTCTAAACTAGAGTTGTTTATTAAAAACATCATCAGACGCAATCTGTCCTGCCAAGTCTATGCACCCTTGGTGTGGAGGTTCTTGTTCGATCCGGGGGGTTGATGGTCACTGCAGGTGGAGTGAACCTCTGATATCAGGAACCCGTAGACCGCTCCTATTAGACCCGTCCAGTCTGAGATCCCTCGAGGTGAAGGCAGGAAGCTAGAATGCTTATTTGGGTCTAAGGTTGATGTTTGCTTGGCTCTTAGAAGAGCCGGTTGTCTGGTATCAGCCGCAGGGTTGCAGAGAGGCTTTGACAGGAGGTCAAAGGAGAGATGGTTTCATAAATGCTTCTTTCCCGAATTGGAAATGGATCATTGTGAGAACAAAATTCATTTCAAATTCATTGATTTAAACACAGATTATTCAAACATTTCATTTAAAGATCTTGTTCATTCATCACATGATTATTTAACTTATAACTGTAAAATCATGGAGTTTTCACTTATTCAGAGTGAAGAATGTTGTCTGGCTTCTAAGCAGAGAGTGTAGGACCTTAGGACAGAGCGTGTATTTGAATGTTTTGTCTTCAGGGACTGTCAACACGCGCTGAACAGAAGAAGGCCAAACAGAAAGTGGATTTATTTCTGTAGATGAAAGGTCATGGATGTTGGTCAATGTAGATGGTGAAAAATTAACCCTTTTGGTACGTTACAGCATTTTTAATACGATTCACTAAAATGCGTAAATAATGCACACACTTGTCTACAGCACTATTACAAACATTTTTTTACAGTTTTTAAGCAAAAAGAAGTTGAATGTCAAAATGTGTTACTGCTGGTATTTTTATTTAAAAAGCATTGATTCCCATTTTGAAGGCCGATACCATGGGTGTTTCTCAATGCCAAGGAATCTCGCCTTGATGTCTTGGCCACGCCCTGGTTGCCTAGGAGATACATCATCCAGAGCCGCCAAGACGTGTTCCAATGTTCATGTTGTTAGGGATTTTATCAATATATTTTATCAATAAACCCATTTTCTGCAGCAAGAGAGAGACCGGAGACAATAAGGAAGCAGACAAGTAAACCAAATTGCAATTTGTGGCAGAGCAACGAGGCAACTGCCCCGAATTCCGCTTGCAAGTTTATTTTCTGTTGAGGGCCATTCAGTCCCTTTACCAAAGGAGCGAGTTTGGTCCGCATAGCCGGTAGTAAGTCTGACATGTTCCCGGTGAGGGTTGGACTCCGCCAGGGCTGCCCTTTGTCACCGGTTCTGTTCATTACCTTTATGAACAGAATTTCTAGGCGCAGCTGTGGTGTGGAGTGTGTCGAGCTTGGTGGCAGGAGAATCTCGTCTCTGCTTTTTGCGGATGATGTGGTCCTCCTAGCTTCATCCAGCTCTGACCTTCAGCTCTTGCTGGGTAGGTTTGCGGCCGAGTGTGAAGCGGCTAGGATGAGGATCAGCACCTCCAAATCTGAGACCATGGTTCTCGACCGGAAAAGGGTGGCTTGCCAACTCTGGGTCGGGAGAGAGGTCCTATCTCAAGTGGAGGAGTTTCAGTATCTCAGGGTCTTGTTCACGAGTGAGGGTAGGAGGGATCGGGAGATCGACAGGCAGATTGGTTCGGCGTCTGCAGTGATGCGGACGCTGAGCCGATCTGTCGTGGTGAAGAGGGAGCTGAGCCAGAAAGCCAGGCTCTCGATTTACCGGTCGATCTACATCCCAATCCTCACCTATGGTCATGAGCTTTGGGTAACGACCGAAAGAACGAGATCGCGGATACAACCGGCCGAAATGAGTTTCCTCCATAGGGTGGCCGGGCTCAGCCTTAGAGATAGGGTGAGGAGCTCGGACATTTGGGAGGGACTCGGAGTAGAACCGCTGCTCCTCCGGATCGAAAGGAGCCAGTTGAGGTGGTTTGGGCATCTGGTCAGGATGCCTCCTGGACGCCTCCCCAGGGAGGTGTTTCGGGCATGTCCTGCCGGCAGAAGGCCCCCGGGTCGACCCAGGACACGTTGGAGAGGTTACATCTCCAATCTGGTCCGGGAACGCCTTGGGGTCCTGCCGGAGGAGCTGGTGGAGGTGGCTGGGGGAGGACGGTCTGGAGCTCCCTAGTTGGGATGCTGCACCCACGACCCGGACCCAGATAAGCGGAGGAAGACGATGACGAGATAAGGAAAGAAGCAGAAGTGTGTGTGTGAATGGGAGAGAGGTCATGAGGGGGAGAGGCAGTGTGTGTGTGTGTGGGGGGGGGGGGGGAGTTACAAGGTAACAAGGATGTGTGTGTGTGAGGATGCTTTCAGGACATTTGTTAATAGGATTAAAGTACCCGGTAATGAAATATAAAATTTTCGTAACACGTGTTCTAGCAAGGCGTGTGTTCTCTGTTTGTTAGCCGTTTAGCTAGCTGAGCGAGGATACACGGGAGGTGTCTTGTAGCCTAGCCTTGGTCAAAAATTACCCAGAATACAGCACGTTTTTTTTTTCAAAAGGATGGCGGATCAGAAGCTGGCAGCTCTTTTGGGGACAATTTTCAAGTTTAAAAGTAAGTCAACTAATTTAAATTGTTTTTTTTAGATCCAAAGAAGTTATCTATTGTTGGTTAGTTAGCTTAGTAGTTGCAGCTTCAGGGGCTAGTGGGTAGTAACTCGCTTACATATTTAATTTAACAAATATATACACAATTAAAAAAGTAAAAGGCTTGTTATATATTTATATTGAAACTAATACGTATAAAATATAACGTTGTCTCCTGTGTCACGTGACGTTACATGAGCATCGTGGAAGTTGCGGTCACGTCATGCAAGTCTGTTCCATTTAACCGTTTTCTTTGACCAAGGAAGGACAGTGTCCTCGTAAGTAAGGCGCCTGGCCTCGCAAGACATCGCCTCGCAAGGCAAGGCGCCTTGACATTGAGAAAACCCCCGAGTT